AAGTACATAATGAGGCTAAGAAACATACAAAAATGTTAAAGAAATCCCTACCTCAAAGTCTAAGAAGAGGAAAAACAACACTCGAAAACCAACGATGTTGAAAGCTTGAAATTTTTCGATTAAAATGTAGCTCACAACTTGCTCTACCTTAAAGCCTCAAGCACTAGGGGTAAGAGATGAGTGTAGCTAGATGAAAACCAAGAGTTTAGGGCTTGGAGGTTGAAAATGGCGGTCTGGAGAGAGAAAAGAGAAAAATGATCTCAAAAAGTGGATATTTGTAACTTTTGGTGGTATATATAGAAGGATTGGGCGCGGCCGCGAACTCTAAAGTAACGGCCTAACCTTGCGACCCCTCGTGGGCCATGCACGTTTCCCCCCCTACAAAGACCTGAATGGTGCATTTGGTCGTAGGCACGACGTAAAAGACCATGGGTGAACAAGGAGTCATGGGCGCGACACTCCCTTCACAAGCACAGAAATGACGACCTACAAAAGTATTAGAAAGTGTTTTTCATCGCCGCTTGGCCGCGTCCCCTCGCGGGCCCGACCTAATAACACTGTGGCTGCGAACAAGGAGGTCGCAAGTGTGACCTAAGGAAACAGAGAAAAATTCTACCAACTTGTTAAGTGTAAAACAAGGTTCCCGGAAACAACTAAACCAAGGATGAGCCAAACCAATCTCCAAAGTAATCACAACACCTCAACAAAAGTACAAGATTTATAGTTATAAACACAGGCTGCTATAATGAGCTATGAGGTAGCCCTTCAAGTGGCTTTGTATAGAATGGCTCTAAGAGAAATGTGGCTGAGGGGATGACAGGGGTTAATAATGGTGCTTATATTAGGGGCTAAAAAAAAGAGAGAAAGAGAGAGAGAGAGAGAGAGGGTTATGAGGGAAAAATTGACATTTTTTAAAAAATAACTAAGGATGTCAGCAAATTACGTAACGGTTGGTTAATAGAGGAGATGAATTGTAACATAATTTATAACTTCAAAGAGAAAAATGTAATTTTCAAAACTTTAGGAATAAATTTGTATTAAATGCAAACCTCACTTTATCAGTTCAAGTGTCCACCTTTCTGTCCACGTATCTACTTGTCTACCCAATTTTTTTGTCGCCAGCCACCACCGAATTTTTCAATGAATCATCGACAGTAAGCAGCGATTGATAGTGGTGTATGAAAATAGAGAGAGAAAATAGAAATAAAAAAATACAAGGATAATATATATATATATATTAAAACAAAAATTTATAGTCCTCACCAATATATTTCATTAATCATATCCTTAAAATCCAAACAAATCAATTATTAGACTTAATGTTGTATGTACCTATAAAAGTAGACTCATCACCAATATTTTCAATAATTTATGTGTCATGTGCTTGCATCAACCTCTTTAAGAACTATGGTTGAAATACTTGAGAATTTATTTAATGCGACAGATGCCATGTAGTTAGGTTAAGTAGGGATGGCAATGGATAACCTACCCTGTGGGTATCCATGGAGACCCAATTAATATCCACCCCATTGCCCCCCATTGCCATTCCTAAGGTTAAGGTGGTTTTCTCTTTTATTCATTATTTTTCGTGTAATAAAATAAAATGTCAAAATTTGATATGCCTGAACATTAAGTACCACCAATTGAGCATAAAGTCAAATTTGAATCCTACCTTGTACAACATGATAAATAATAAATGGAAATGTATACCATGCCAGCTCAATCACATGACATATTTATTACATAAAGTACTTCCTGAGTAAGGCTCAAAACACACAAACGCACACAAAAATAAGAATAAAAAAAACAAAAGAAAAGTAGAGATTGAGCAATAAATCTAGATCCTCTATAACGATTTTCTTTGAGTGATCCTACAATGATTTTTGTATGGCTATTGTATTATCAACTTTTGACTATTGTACCTCCAAATTTTATAAAGTTAAATCTTAATTATTCAAAAATTTATTCTAATATCACTCTAGAGAGTCCAGACTCATGAGCAACGACTGTGGCAACCCCCTCAATTGAGAGGTTGTTTTGTTTATTGAAGCCTGGTATTTTGATGTAAGAAGTATGTTATAAGTAGTTGCAGTTCTAGCAATTTTTATATAAGCAAAATGTTATTATTATTTACATTTTTTCTAGTTTCTTTTTCCTTTTTTCTTAATTGTTTTTCAAATTTTTTTTAATGAAAGAAATTTAAATGTTGTTACTAAAGATTATAGAAGCTAATTAAATTAAGAACATAGTCTTTCAAGATTTTTTAAAAATATTATTTATCATTTTTTGACTTTTAGTAGATGGTTTTTAACTTTCCTTCAAAATTTTAAATTTTCAGGTCCCTTTTCAAAAAAAAAAAAAAAAAATACTCATCCCTCATTCTTCCTAAAAGATAATAAGACGAAGAAGCATTAAAAATTATATTAAAGACAAAAATTTGTTTTTAAAAAAGCTAACTTTTGAGGTAGAGACTTAAGAACTTAAACTTCACAAATAACATAAAAAAATCGCATTATCAATATCTTTAATATATTTTTAATAAATTTTTAACATAAATTATATATTTCAACCTCGTACTTTTATCTAAATTTTACTTTAGTCTCTCGTAGTTGAGGTCTCAAATTTCAACTCATGTTTCAATTAGGCATAGCATTACCTTGCCATTTAAAATTTGAGTGAAAATTGAAACATAAGGAATCAAAATAGAATTTGAGTAAAGCCTACTTTGTCATGTCCAAAAAAAGACAAAAAATTAAAAAGTTACTCAAAAAGTTAAAAAGTTATCACTATTCACCCAAAAAAAATTAAAAAATTAATTTTACATACAAATTTACAAGACAGATTTGAACCGGTTCAGATCTGTGCTTGCGTTTCTTAAGAAAAATTGGACAGTTGGGTTGCAATTTTAACACACTGTTGTTCGGTCTGTGGGGGCCCATCACGGGTCCCTTTTTGATAATCTGAACCGTTAATGTGTAAAACTCGTCGAGTACTATGTATCTGTAAAAAATCACATTGATCGGATATCGCTAACTATATGATCAAATCAGTTTTGTATACACTCCCCCACTGCTTAAACCAAGTGGGATGGTTTTCTCCATAGCCGAACTACCACACGACCGAAATAACACTGGCTATGCTGAGCCACAGAGAATGCCGAACTATCCTTAGCTTAGTCTTCTCCTTTAACTCATTACTTCGGCTGCCCCTGTTCAACCTTGGTATGCTTAGATCAAACTTCCAAGTAACAAGTTCTGACCGACTTAACCAGAGTGTGTCACGACCGGACTAATCCCGACGCCGGCCTTCCCAGAACATACTGCGACCGGACTAACTGAGACCGGCCCAACTGTGAGTTGCTTCCAGACCGGAGTAGTTTTACTCTTCCTTGGACCGAAGTAACTATCTCTTCTTGAGCCGGAGTAATCTCACCTCCTTGGGCCGGAGTGAGTTAACATCTCCTCAGAACCGGAGTAAATCTATCGTTCTTGACCGGAGTAACTCTAACAGCTTGGGCCGGAGTGCCTTTAATCTCTCCTGGGCCGGAATACCCTTTACGGCCTTTTTTACTCAGTCCTTCGCGTTTTGGGCCTCAAAGCCCAACTCGCAGCTCGGCCCAATTTTTCCCAAAAATTACCCTCTCACTTGCCATTTAAAATTTGAGTGAAAATTGAAACATAAGGAATCAAAATAGAATTTGAGTAAAGCCTAGTTTGTCATGTCCAAAAAAAGACAAAAAATTAAAAAGTTACTCAAAAAGTTAAAAAGTTATCACTATTCATCCAAAAAAAATTAAAAAATTAATTTTACATACAAATTTACAAGACAGATCTGAACCGGTTCAGATCTGTGCTTGCGTTTCTTAAGAAAAATTGGACAGTTGGGGTGCAATTTTAACACACTGTTGTTCGGTCTGTGGGAGCCCATCACGGCCCCCTTTTTGATAATCTGAACCGTTTGATGTGTAAAACTCGTCGAGTACTATGTATCTGTAAAAAATCACATTGATCGGATATCGCTAACTATATGATCAAATCAGTTTTGTATACAAAAAATGGATGGTGTTATAGTTAATGGTTAAAAAAAAACCAGTCTGATCAGATAGCTATCGATATCCGATCAACGTGATTTTTTACAGACATATAGTACTCGACGAGTTCTACACATTGAACGAATCAGATTATCAAAACGGGACCCATGATGGCCTCCACGGGCCGAACAGCACCGTCCAGTGCAATGCCCAAAAAATAGCCAATCATTTCTTAACATCAATTCAGCTGCACAGATAGTACGACTGTACACCTCACACTCCTAATCATCTCCTATATACTAATTTATACAATTTTTTAATACACATTTTTTCATAAAAAATCAAAAAGTTAACCCAAACAACCATATTTTTTTCCTCAACTTTTTAGTTTAAAAAGTTAAATAGTGCACTTATTTAGAATACCCCAAATTCTGTTATTGTGAAATTTGAGTAAAAATTAAACGGAGAAAAAGTATAACTTGTTATACAATACTTTTCTTCTAATGTCCCTAATATGTGTTTACTTGAGTACTCTCTATTCAATTTTTTGACAATAAGTAACAGGAGGATCATACTAAAACATAAGTTAAAACATGACAACTTAACTGTTACAATTACAATATTAGAAATTAAAGTGAAAATTGAGTGAAAGTTTGAAGGTGAAAATTATAGTTTACCATTTACTAATTTAAACTTCTCAAATTATAAATTAATTAAATTTTAATTGCAAGAGGTAAAATCAACAGGCCACGACCAACCATATTCATTTGTATTGATTAATTGAAACACTTCAAAGCCATAATTTCCAACAACATTAAAATAAAAAAACAGAGCAGATACAGACCCCCTCAGATTCCCACTCCCACCACCCTCACACACACGTGGGGGTTGGTGAGTCCGAGAAGAAAAAAAAAAATTTTTTTTTCAACCAATGAGAGGCAGAGGGGATCGTGGGGGTGGCTGCCAAAAGGGGGTCTAAGTCTTTTTTGATAAAAAAAAAAAACAGTACTACATTGTCAAAGAGAAATTAACAAACATTCTACATTACATGAACTACTAGATTTTAAAATAAGAAAACCAAATTGCAATTCTATATATGGATATGGATACTAGCTGATGATCATGAGATGAGACTTTTAATTTAACAGCAATGCTAGGAGGTCATAAAATCTGTGGCTGAAATGGTTCAAAACATCCAAAACGATATTGTTTTGGGTGCAAAACGACACAAAACGACGTCGTTTTGACAGTTTCGGGCCATTTGAGCCACATAATTTGTGACCACCAAACATTTTCCTTAATTTAATTACTACTACTTTTTGGCTTTCTTTAACTTGTCAGCCAAGAGTGCATTGTACTCATCCCTCATTCTGTTATATTTGTCAGTTAAGGTCTTGAAAGCTTCCATTTTCTCCTCTGGGACTTCCTTCTTCTTCTTCTCTAGATGAATCTTCGTTTCTGCAATTTGTTGCCTCAGCTCTTGAATTCTTTGCATTTTCTCGTCGTGCTCTTTCTGCAGCATTTCCAACTCCAATGGCTGTTTCCCTGGAAATTTTATAGTAAATTAAGAGTGTGTGAACAAAACACAAAATTTTAAAATATAGTGAACTTCATATTCAAATAATGCATTGATCCCACCTAAATTTATAGACTCGTTGTTTGAAACAAATCAAAATTTGTGTTTTGTTCATATATTTTGATAGTGTGTGAACAAAACTAGACTCCCTTAGGCATGCAACGTGCTCAACATTCCAACTTTTCAAAGAACCTAAATTTTTATGTTTGATAGCTTTGAAAAAAGCTCCCATAAAAAAACAAAATATTGTTGTCTAAAAAAGACTAATTTGTTCAAAAGCTCAACATATGAAAGTTCACCTTATCCAAACACCTCTTAAATTTTTTTTGGTAAGTCCCTATTTATTGCTTTGTCAAGTCTAGATATGTTATGCTGACTTTTTCCGGATAATTTTTTTTTGACCCAATTTCAGGAAAAAAAAAAAAAAATCCTTGCGGATCCCTTTGTCCCCTCTAAGTTTCTTTTTCGCGTGACTGTTGACTTGACATTTTCAATCTAGAGTTGAACGAAAGTTAACTGTTGGAGTAAATTAGAAAAATTAAAAATGCTAGGGATTAAAGTTGAAAAATACACTTTTAATAACAAAGTGAGAAAATGCTAAAATTTAAAGTGTAATTTATCTTTTTTTAATCAATTGGTAGGATATAATTTACAAATATCATATGCGATTTACTGGACATTTAATTATGTAAGAAAGTTCAATAACAAAATATCATATGCAAAAACAAAATCAATAATAATAATAATAATAACGCACAACTCCATTAGAATTAGAGCGTGTTGAATATGATCGTTTTACAAATTATTTTTGAATAATTATACATATCTGAATTCTCATGAGAGGTCTCTGATAATTGATTATGTCAAAAACAAAAAATTTATTTCTTCAACAGTTTAAACATTTTTGGAACCAAACATATATATGTAAACAAACAAAATGAGGTGTAAAAGAAGAACAAACCTGAATTGAATGAGCTGTTTCCACCTTCCATGGCTCCAACTTCCTATAAGAGAAAACAAGTTTTAAATTTTGTTTGAATTATTTGTTTAAATATTGTAGCAGAGAGAGAGAGAGAGAGAGAGAGAGAGGGAGAGATTACGAACCTTTAAAATGCTTCTTAAAATGTAGAATAACTTTGTAATTCTCAAAGTTGTATGTTGGTTGCTCTATAGTAGTTTGTTTGATAGATTTATTTACAAGTATGAGTCGGTTGTTTGATAGAATAAAGTTCCTGAAAACAAGTTATGTACAAAGCTTCATGTTTTGTTTTCAGAGATAGAATGGAGGGAGTTGATAGTGAGGCAATTAAGTAAAATTATGTTTGTTTTGATAATAGTTGTTAGCGTAGGAATTGTTAAATTATTTTTATATAAAATGTTGGACCATTTTAATATCTTATATTTATTTATTGATTTATCTTTTTCATAAATGGGATTTTATTACTTTGGTAACCTCTTGGTCATAAATGGAGGTTAAATAGAATTCATGAACTTGGTTAATGGTCATTATCTTGGTGTAACCACTTTTACTTGGTTAATGGTCATTATTTTGGTGTAACCATTTTTTCTTATTTAATGGTAATTATTTTGTGGTGTAACTGTAAGGTCTTAGTGGCCAATAAATAGTCCATCTCATCTACTCTTTTCTACACGACTAACATATCAACTTATTGGTGAAGCTTTGGGTTCACTATCTTGTGCAGAGTTGACCTGAACCATACGACAAGTGGTCGGGCTGTTGTATCCTGGAGGGGACAAGTCATAGTTTTGTGACTGCTGCATCGGTATTGGGGTTCTTCCTACCGCAGTGGGCTTGATCTCCTTAAAGAAAACGAGATATCCGTGCCTCAGCCTGATCTATTTGTATCTCATTTTTTTTTGCATCATTTATCAATAAAATATAATTTTTTCTGGTATTTTCACCAACATAAAATAATGAAACAAATAAAAAAATACAAAAAATTAAACATTAATGTTCCAAAAAAAAATGCTCAACATGTAAAAAATAAAAAAATAATAAAAAATTTCTAGTCCAACTCCATTTCAATCCTCCTTCCAACCTCCATTCTAATCCCCTCCTTCATGTCAATCCCTTCACCAAATCTACAAACAAACACAACACTAAATGGGTCCCACCTCAATCTCATCCCACCCTCTACACCCCAAAACAATTGGGGCCTTACCAACTTCATTATTTATTAAGCATTTAGTGTCAGATAACACGAGATAATCTTCACTTAGAAGTCGTAATTATCTCTAAAGCATTTAAAGCATTTAGTGTCAGCATTTATGTACTTTATCTCTTCTATATATTTATCTCATATTTGTACATCGCTATCAAATCTATTGAAATCATTGAATGTACATAAATCCTAATCTGCAGCACTCGATTGAGTATGTGAGATAATTTTCTACATATCACTATTTGTAGCTTTTTTGATTTGTATCAGAGCCCCAATGCCAAATGGCACCTAGCTCAATGTCATTTGCAACTTCATGAACTCTCAATCTTAATCCTACGTTGGAAAGCCCAAGTTGTTCCTTTCCTATGTGGTCACAAGCACATGGGCTTTGTTTATGTGGAACTTGGATGACAATACCAAGTGGTCATTGTGTGTTTCTCTGAAGATATTTTCCCTCTTGTTGGCCTCTTCACTTGTCATGAAATCAGGACCACACTTGAACAATACTTGTCCTGCCATTCCAATACATGCATATGCAACTCCAACAACTTAAACGAGAGGACAAATCTATTTCCTCTTTTGTCCACAAAATTGAATCTCCCTCTGATGAACTCACTGCTACTGGAGAGCAAATTCTCTCATTGAATTCCCTATTTAACTTCCTACTTGATGGGCCATTGGGCCGACTTTTAGGTCCAATTTAATCATCCGAACCGTTCACATTTTAAAATTTGTCAGGTATATCATACCAGCAACAAATTAAGTCGATCAGATATCAAAATTCACGTGAACTAAAAGTTTTATTAAACAATAAAACTGTTTATTAAATTTTTTTTAATAAACTGTTTTTAGTTCTTCCGATATTCAATCAATTTGATTTTTTATAGGTATAATATACATGATAAATTCTAAAATAAAAATGGTTCGGATCATCGAAATTGGGCTAAAAAATGAACCCAATGGCCCATCAAGTACGGAGTCAAGGAGAATTCAAGGATGAAAGAATAATTTGAGAGAGTGATAGAGGATTGAGAGAGAGAGAAAGAGCTACTGAAATATTCTGTTGTTGTATATATTTACAAGATGATTTACACTCTCTTTTATAGAGAGGGAAAGCTTACATAGGGTGCCTTAATAGCACCGAAAGAAGAAACACAAATGGGGAACATCATTATGACTAACACTAACATCATTATGACTAACACTAGAATACAAATGGGAAACATCATTATGACTAACACTAGAATATACAATAATAAACTAACAATGGAATATACAACAATAATAAACTAACAGAGGGATCCTTGCTCGCTACTGGACTCTCCTTTACCTCACTGACTTCAACATCTATGTCCTCAAAGCTTTTTGCCAGAATTCAACTACCATTGATGTTGGGCCCACATTTATCTCCTTTTCTGAGTTACATTCCCTCATGCTCAGTCACAAATTCCTCTACACAAACTCTTTTTCATCTATTGTTCATCTTCAGTCACCCATCAACTCTAGTTCAGTGGCCAATTTGGTGCAGCAACATGGATCTGCCAATCATCAATCCCACTTTTCCCCATCCTCATGCGATCGCTCTATTGGTTGAGATCCATGTGGCGGTGGTTGGAGGGTCGTCCCTCCCCTGCTATGTGTCATTTTCATGGTGATAATCATCTCGATAACACCGATGTTTTGGTTTTCTTACCATTTTCCTTGCTTAACGAGTTCTAGCTTACACCTTGATAACTGAGTATTTATATTGTATGCAAAGTGTGTTGTCAAATATACAATAATGTTTCCCATCTTGACCCATTATGCTACTATTAACCATGCCCAACCACATGCTTATACCGTTCTTGCTCCATTCTCTATCAATTGTATGCCTAATTACTATGACTGCCTTCTAGACATTGGTGCTACCCATTACATAATCCTTGATTTCTCCAATCTCACCCAACGTGAAGATTACCATGGCCCAGATCACTTATGTGTTGGCAACAGTAATGGGTTACACATTGTTCATACTAGGTCTTCTCTTCTTCCTACTACTACATGAAATTTCAAACTTTTCAATATTCTTCATGTTTCTGATTTAACTCATTTATTTATGTACATCAGCTTTACAAGGATAACTCTGTCTATACAAAATAAAAGTGGCCTCTCTCGGCCTTGGTCTTCAACATCGCTGGATAAGAGTTACTTCTCTCAGTTCACTTATCTATAGGATATCACCCATGAGGGGTGATCACTTCATGATCAATGGAGACACCACTTGGAGCACTTGGAGAGCCCACTAAAGAGAGTAGGGGTGGCACCTCCCCATTAATGGGTGGGGGTGGCAACCACCCCACTACCATGGTCTTTCCTTCTTCCTTCATGATTATGTATATATAAGGAAGGGAAGAGAGGCTAAAATGAGAGAGTGAGAACAAACCAAAGAGAGCGAGAGATGTGAGGCGGAGAGACTGTCTCTTTCGGTGTGAGCGAGGGAGATGGGTGAGTGGGTGAGTGAGGAGAGTGTGAGCTCCTCCTCTATTGTAATCTTTCTGTAATCTCTCCATTGTTATAGTGATAACCGGTTACTCTCCCGTAAACGTAGGATTTAAGGCCGAACCACGTTAAATATAGTGTCTCCTTCTGTATGGGTGTGTTTTTCTACTTGGTATGATTTTTACAAGGTCTTGGGTAGGATCCCTGATCCCCAACATTATCTGCCTATGTTGTCACCATCTCCTTCCTTCTTTAGTGCTACAAGAGCTTCTCTTGACTATTCGTACGTCGCCTATGACGTCCACATTTGGCAACTCTTCATCAAATTCTTTGCTAGAATAATGTATCCTTTTTATTTGATCATTTCAATTATATTTGTTTGGCTTGTTAGTTGGGCAAGTCTTTGAGGTTGCATTTATGCCCTTTAACTTCAGTAGTTACTGGCCATTTAGAGCTTTTGTTGACTGATGCATGGGGGGTTCTTCCTCAATCCCTTCAACAAATGGACATCATTTCTATGTTGGTTTCTTGGATGATTATTCTAAATATGTTTGGTATTATCCAATTGTTCGCAAGTTTGAAATTTTTACTATTTTCCTCTAATTCATTGACAATATGATCTCGACTACATGGAAACCTTTAGATATGTAGTTAAACCTACTATCATTTGCATCATCCTTTCCATTGTCATTTTTTATGGATGGTTCATTTGTCAACTTGCCTCGTTTGGCAAGTGGCTTTTTTAGCCAAAAAGTTACTAAAAAAATCAAAAAGCCAACAACTTATATTAAGAAAGTCAAAAATTTCATTTTCTCTCTACTTTTTGCACATCTTTTCGTAAAAAGTCAAAAATTCATCCCAAACATACTAGTTTTTTTTACATCATATTTTAGCCAAAAAGCTAAAAAGTTACTAAAAAAGCATGTTCCCAAACGAGGCTGATAGGCATCCCAAGTGTGGTTCAATCGTTTCACCTGTGTTCTTTAGATCAGTTTTACAGCTTCCAAAACAGATACATCCCTCTTCATTTGCTCTCATAGATATGTTCTACTGTTTGTTCTCATCCATGCTGATGATATTTTGGTCACTAATATTCATACCTCCATGATCACCACTAGTCTTATTATTCGAATGGGTTCTGCCTTTGTACTCAAAGAACTTGGCCCTCTCTGTTTTTTCCTTAGTATTGAATTTCTTCCTCACTCTAATGGAGTTCTTTTCCAAAAGACATTACATCCAAGATCTACTTTCAAAATCTAATGACATTTTGGTCACTAATATTGATACCTCCATGATCACTAGTCTTTTTATTCAAATGGGCTTTGCCTTTGTACTCAAAGATC